AGCCCTCCTGGGCTGTGGGTTGCATAGGCTTCTTTAGGGGATTTTTAGATCTCTTGCTGCTGTCTCTGTTAACTCCCATTCAGACTGTGGTTCATCAGACACTGTGGCAATCCACATTTGAAGCAGTACATTGGTCCTTATTTACTAGAGATTTCAAAGCAGCATAAAACCAGTAAACCTAGTTCTTAGACTCCTCAGTTGAGCAAGTTTACAGAAACCAATAAAGTAATCCGCCTTGCCTGTTTCATAAAGAGCCTCTCACATTTTTCTGCTTATGTACTTGACTGTAGAGGTGATGTGAAATGAGTATCCCAGGGGACAAGTGAAATATGATTCTGAGGTTTCTCTGAAGTCTTTTTATCTTGCAAATCCATGCAAATTTTACGCTGTGTTCCGTAATAGGTCTGTTTCTTTTAAAAAATAGTAATAGTAAAACAATACTCCATCCCCTCCCTGCATACAAGTCTTTGAGGTTCAGGAATATGGACTGTGCTTATCTTGTGGCTTCAAGAACACACTCCCCCATGCCTCCCCACTAACATATTTCGCCTGGGGTGGACATTCTCCCCAGTAGTGTGGAAAACAAACGTAGCACGTAGCTTTTGAGGATCTAGGCTACATTGTTGATGGCACTTTGGCCCTTTTGCTGAGTTTAAAAGGCACCTTTATAAATATGTTAGCCATTGATTAGGTAGACCCATCTCAGCAGTCCTCTGCTCAGTTTTGACAGGGAACCTCATGAGCAGAGACTTAGAATGTGGCTTCAGTCTAGAGCTCCTGAGCACATGTTGTTAGACCCTATAAACCATCTCATTAACTTTTACATTTCTCTAAGCTAACTGGATCAGATGTCCTGCTTCTTCCTGGACACACAAATACAATATTCTCTCCCAAAGTCATCATGCCCAAATTAATTCTTCCGTAAGGTTGCTTAGAAATTACAAATAATTATTGTAAAGTGTTAAACATGATTTCTTACATGTAGTGAGCAGTCAGGATATGGTAGCTGCTATTTTATTATTGCTACGATCATTATTGCAGTGTGTATCTACTGTGAACAAAGGAACATTCTAAATGGAAAGTAAAGCTGGTTGGTGGCACATTCAGAATTGATGGTTGACCGATAACTTTGGATCTTGAATTGTAAATGCATAAATTTTTTTTTTTTTTTTTTTTTTTTTGAGACGGATTCTCACTCTGTCGCCCAGGCTGGAGTGCAGTGGTGCAATCTCGGTTCACTGCAACCCTTGCTTTCTGGTTCAAGCAGTTCTCCTGTCTCAGCCTCTGAAAGTAGCTGGGACTACAGGCGCACACCACCACACCCAGCTAATTTTTGTATTTTTAGTCGAGATGGGGTTTCACCATGTTGGCCAAGCTGGTCTTGAACTCCTGACCTCAGGTGATCCTTATAATACTAAGAAATATACACTGCTTGTGATATGAATAAAGAAAATGGATTAAATGAAATTCTTGAACAAAAGGATACTTAAGAAATAAAATCACTAACTACATTAGTGAGAAAACTGATTTTAATTTCACATTATTTAACAATGTGGCCGACGCACCGAATTCTGTGGAGTAATAGTGCCTAGTACAGTGCCTAGTTTGTGCTGCTTCATGTATGTTGGTTGAATGAATTCAATAGGTTGAGACCTTATTGTGGACGCTGAATTGTATATTCCTACCTAATTAAGCAAGAAGTTTGAATGTTATCTAATGGTCAGTGAGAATTTTGAGCAGGGACACGATGTAACTCATCGCTTGCTATGACTGGAAGTAAATGTACAAAAGCTTACATTTTATGATAGAACTATGATAAATTTTCCTATTACTTTCCTAACATTTCTAATAACACACACCCTTTCTAAAGTCTAAGAGTATACTTCCAAAGGTGACAGTGGCTCCCCGTGAAATGAGGAATGGGGGTGAGGGCAGTGTATTTGATCTGGAAAGGGTAGCATATGTACTTTGAAAGAGAGCACTCAGGGATATGTCCTTCATGAGTATCACTATTTTAGAGAATCCTTGAGTATCAAACCATAGAATTTAAAGCTAAAATTGACCTAGAGACCTTCAGCTCTAACCCTCATGTTATAGATGAGATCAAGTGAATTCCTCGACTCAACCTAGGACTTCTGATTCCATGTTCTTTCTCATGCATTAAAGTTATGGAAAAAACTATGCAGATGAACAGAATTTAAAGCTGAAGTTAACCTAGAGATCCTCAGCTATAACCCTCATGCTATAGATGAGATCAAGTGAATTCCTTGACTCAACCCAGGACTCCTGATTCCACGTTCTTTCTCATGCATTAAAGTTGTGAAAAAACTATCCAGATGAACAGAAGAGAGGACTGGTTTACATAGTTTTGTCTTCTCTGCTCCAGAGTAACTTTTCCAACAAGCCTGAATGTTTTCATATCATGTTGCTGTACTTTAAAAATTTGTGTCAATTACATATTCATGTAGATAATAAAAAAAACTCACCAGCCGGGCATGGTGGCTCATGCCTGTAATCCCAGTACTTTGGGAGGCTGAGGCAGGTGGATAACTTGAGCTCAGGAGTTTGAGACCACCCAGGGCAACATGGTGAAACTCTGCCTCTACTAAAAATAAAAAAAAATTAACTGAGTGTCTCTGCTCACTGCAACCTTTGCCTCTGGGTCTCAAGTGATTGTCCTGCCTCAGCCCCAGCTGCTTCTGGACTACTTCAGGATATTTACTACTAATTCTCATTTTAATGTATTGTATGCACCTGTGGCTTTAAAATTGGCCTGTCATTCTGATATTTGGATAAAGTGTTGTTATTTATGTGACAAATTCCTCCAGCATCTGACTGTTGGTTTCATTTGAGTATTCCATAAACTCTTTATTTACAATGATTGCTTCTTGTCAACTACTTGGGAGGCTGAGGCAGGAGAATCACTGGAGTCCCAGAGGTGAAGGTTGCTGTGAGCCAAGATTGTGCCACTGCACTCCATCTTGAGCTGCAGAGTGAGACTCCGACTCAAAAAAAACAAAAACAAAAACAAAACTCACCATCCCAGAGGCAAATCAGTAAAACATTTTGTTATATTTTCTTACCAGTCTTTTTAGTAAATGTGTACTTTTAAAATTAGAATTGTATTTTATAGCTTTTTAAGAAATATTATATATACAAACATTCGCTTAAGTATATGTAGGTGTTATTTTATTTTTTGAGATGGAGTTTTGCTCTTGTTGCCCAGGCTGGAGTGCAATGGCATGATCTCAGCTCACTCCAACCTCTTGACTCCCGGGTTCCAGTGATTCTCCTGCCTCAGCCTCCCGAGTAGCTATTGTTACAGGCACCCACCACTATGCCCAGCTAATTTTTGTATTTTTAGTAGAGATGGGGCTTGGCCATGTTGGCCAGGCTGGTCTTGAACTCCTGGCCTCGGCCTCCCAAAGTCTGGGATTACAGGCGTAAGCCATCCTTTTTAAAATGGTTCTGTAATAGTAATCCATCATACAGATATGCCACAACATATATGATTAAATCTTTATTGTTAGATAGTTATCAGTTTTTCAAACAAGCAAGTATTTTATAAATACAAATAGTTCTAAGAAAATTAGGAGACTTTGAGTCATTCATATACTAGTTTGAATTAGTTAATACCTGGTTTCTTTTTATTACCTAGTTGAGAGGTGGTTAGAGAGCTAGTTGGGGAATGGAAACTGATTTGGCATGAAGCACTTCAGGAAGAGGGTGGGCTGGGGAAGGGCTGTGAAGGGGTAGAGTTCTATATAGTTCTATATAGGCTGTTTGAACCTCAGAAAAAGGGATGTAGAGAAAGTTTGCTGAATGGAGTAATTTCAGTGTTTTGTATAGTAATGGCTCTTTTCTTTTTCTGGTACATATAACTTTTGCTTTAAAACTGTTGCTCAAGCTATTTTGTGAGTTTGGGGATTCTCCCACACAAGTAGATTGACCAAGCATTGGTTAAAAGGCTGGACACCTGAGTACCCCTTATATGTTTTACTTTCCAAGTTCCAACCTAACTACTTACAAACTTCTGAAAATAGTTTTGAATTGTGGGTTACCTTTAGTCGAATTGTAGGTTGTTTTTTGGTTTTTTTTTTCAGTCAAACGGAAATGAAAGGGCAGATATTGGCAAGGCTTAGGGACTAATTTAATGCCATTAGGAAAGCACAAGATAACTTAAGGGCTAAAAGCCTAAAAAAAAAAAAAAACCCAAAAAACTGGTGAAATGAGGAGTTGGTGCTGATTTGCGCAGGAACCTGAAAGACGACACCTAAAAACTCAAATTACATTTCAGGAACTTGTGCTGGCGAGAGATAGGGATAACACAGATAAAAGTGTAATTTGTAGATATTCTGAAATCCCTTATCTTACCCAGTAGTTTCAGTTGTGACTTAAAACAATGTATCTATCTGTACTTTAGCAAAATGGGTGGATTTGCATTTCACATGCTCCTCCTTTGGTTGAAAACAATTGATTATATAGGAGAGGGAGGATGATACTCTTAAGTCTTTGTTCTGCCACAATATGACATTGGACAAGGTATTTCATTTCTCTGGTTTCTAACCTGCAAGTAAAAGGATAATTAATATTGGCTTAGATAATTTTTAAAGTTCCTTCAGAACCTGAGGAGTCTATTTCTAAAACAAAAAAATTACTCATGAGGTAGAATTGGCTATACTTTCTCAAATTTAAAAAATTAAGCAAAATGCTGATCTAGTAGGTTCACGTAACTTTTAAGTAAAACATCTTGAAGGTGTCCCTCTATCACCTGAAGAACAAATGTCTCAGTTTAATATATGACTACATCAAAAAAAAAAAAAAAATGCAACCACAGTAGGTGACCAAAGGGATAAGTAACTTTCAGGAATTTTGAAAGCCCAGTACTATTTAGTATATGCTCTCTCAGCATTAAAAAGGTCACCTTGCTAATACATGTTAATTTTGAAAGTTTAATTGACCTTTGGAATTTTAATATCAACCTTTTTTGGTGTGTTTAGAGGTTGGAGCAATCACTGAAGAAACTGAAGCCTGTGATTGGTGGAGTTTGGGTGCTGTCCTCTTTGAACTTCTCACTGGCAAGGTAAGCAGTGACCTGGACGTTTAATAAATTTACCCAGATGCTACCTTGATTTCTAATTGAGAACATTAGCCTTCACCCTTAGTTTTTAATCAGGGACCAAGCAACAAAAACTTCAATACAAAACGCAAGCAGAGAAATGCAATTTTGTCAAGATTCCAGATATTTTAAAAAGTTGGATTTCCTTACATTGAATAAATTGATGGTAAATTACTTTATGTCACAGTGTTTCATAGTGATATATGATTAAACCTTTTTTCTCTTAATTTTCCATGATTCAGCTTTAACAGGGTTAAATCTGTAAGGTTTATGTAAGGATGTATTAAAATTCTCTGGGTGTTTTAAACGTCTTGTCTGAAACCAGGAGAGAATTCTTATTTAAGAAAATTAACATAGATATTAAAATTAGCATTATCTTTTTCTCAGTCCCATAAATTTTTCCTATTCTAGCTTAAGGACAGAAATTATGCTCTCAGATCAATAACTTTTGATTATGATGTTTGAGTTAGTACATTTTAATAAAGTATTGTGCAGATTGCCTTTTGGGAAGAAAACAGAGGAAATGAACAGTTATACTTTTGTAAATAGTCATCTATCTACGTTTGTAGATAATACTGTCCTAAGATTGTTGTGGAGTTTACAAATCACCTTTACACACATTTAAACTGTGAAGTGCTATACATATGTAAAGTGTTACAAATAACAAATTGTAAACTTTGAAGGATTTTAAAAACATTGAAACATTTTAAAGATATCAAATTCCTTTTTAGTTTTGCATATAATTTAAGCTTTTCTATAATATTCTGAGCTATTAATTTTATAACTAAGGCCAACGGGACAGTAGCATAAGTTTATGATGTGATCATGGTGATTGTCTTCATTTTAGTTAAAAGTTCTATAGGCTCATAGCCCTCATCCTAAACTGCTTAGGCAGCACTGTATTGATTACTACACCTCCAGTTAAAACATTTGTTGAGCTCTTTGTACTTGCTGTCCATAAATCCTTTGATAGAACAAAATATGATGTTATTTGGGATAAGAAGTTTACCTGATTGATTGTTTCAGACTCTGGTTGAATGCCATCCAGCAGGAATAAATACTCACACTACTTTGAACATGCCAGAATGTGTCTCTGAAGAGGCTCGCTCACTCATTCAACAGGTAATTTAATTGACCTATTGGCCAGGTTTATCAACCATGCAGATTAGCAGATCCCATACCTCCAAAACCTTAAAAAGAGATTAGTTTGAGGCAAGAAAAACCCATTTAACCTAAAACAAACATGCATTCAGAATTAATATTGTATATTTTCAGGCTTTTGCTATCATCAAACCATTGATGGGGTCAGAGAGTATAGTTAAAACTTCTTGGTATTAATTTTTTTTTCCCCCAAAATTCAGGGCTCACGTTTAGTCAGTTCTGTATATTTGTGTAAACGTGTGATTTGAATATTGCTTTTAGCTTGTCTGGGGCTTCTCTAATTTTGCAGTCACATTTTGTAGCCTTATATGAATGGCTATTTTCAGTTTTTAATTCTTATTTATAAACAGTAATGGACACTCAGGTTGCTTAGGAGAGACATATTTGAAGATCTTGTCAAGTTAGATACTTCATCACTGGTGGAACTTGGGCATTGGTGTCAGTGATTACATTTCTGGTGGCTTTGAAGAAAGAGACCATTGATAATTAAAATTTAGTGTCCCAGAGACAGGTTTGGAACCCCAGTGAGCTTCTTAGATTGATTCCCCATAATTAAATTACTTCTCTAGTTTTGTGTAGTGAATTTTTGCTGAGTATATTGAGGGTTGTTAGTACTGTGGTGTGACAGGCCCCTTGCTGGGCTATCAGCAGGGAAAAGCAGGCCTGGGATCCTTAAACTTTTATGAAAAATAGAATGGATAAAGTTCTTTGAAAAACATCAAGAACTAAAACTATGTGACGAAACATGCTTTTTTTTTTTTTTTTTTTTTTTTTTTTAAATCAGGGAAAACAAAAAAAGGCAGGGGAGAATATATTAAGAAGATAATTAACTAGTATTCTCTTGAGTGATTTTGCTTTTATTCAACAAATATTGTATACAAGGCACAGTGCTATAAGCTGCATAGGTAAGACATGTAAATAACCATACCACATGGAAATTGATAAAGGCTGTCTAAGAGTTTTAAAAAATACTGTGGCAAGTCAAAAGAAGGAGGCGGATATAATCAATGCAGTGGTAGTATTAGGGAAAGTTTTTGTGGAGTGGATGTTACTTTTGCTGGGCCTTAGAATTTCAGCATGGTAAAGTAGGATGTGGGAAGAATAGTCTTGGTATCATGAATAGCGTGAACAAAAGCAAGGAAGGAGTCTTAAAGACGCAGTTTAGAAAACCAAAGTTTGATTTATCTGGAATAGAGAGATAAATAGAGGAAGGGGTAGTAGGTGAGTATAAAAAGTAAGTTGGACTTTGGGAAGCCGAGGCGGGCGGATCACGAGGTCAGGAGATCGAGACCGTCCTGGCCAACATGGTGAAACCCCGCCTCTACTAAAAATGCAGAAAAATTAGCTGGGCGTGGTGGCGCGCGCCTGTAGTCCCAGCTACTCGGCAGGCTAAGCCAGGAGAATTGCTTGAACCTGGGATGCGGAGGTTGCAGTGAGCCGAGGTCGCGCCACTGCACTCCAGCTTGGCGCCTGGTGACGGAGTGAGACTCTGTCTCAAAAAAAAAAATAAATAAATAAAAATAAGTTGGGGTTCTCTTATGGGCTTCTATCATCAACAAATACAAGAGTAGAGTGATAATATTTAATTCATTAAAATTTGAGATTTGGAATTTGTGGAGAAGAATAAAAGGTTCATAGTTGTACTTCAGAAAGATTAATTTGCCCAGAGTATGTAAACTATAAAGAAACAATCAGGTTGGAAATGCTGACATGAGAATACCTAGATCACTTTAGATTAAGAGATAATGAAGCAATACATAAAACATTTCATTCTAATGGGAAAAAAAAAAGCACCTATTCATTTGATTTCATCTTATTTGTTGTGGCATGAGATAATTTCAAATTATTTTTAGTAAATAATTTAGGAAAAACTAGCAACTGCTATTTTTTGTTTCTCTTCCTTAAAGAAGTAGTCATTACTATATAATATTAAAAACAGAATTCCCCATAATAAGTTATCAAGTTCTGCTTTTGTCTTTATTAGAAGTTATATTGTGAAGGAGTCTAGGCTTAAGGCATGCTAAGTCCTCAAACTCAGATATGTATAGCTTGTGTAGTAAATCAGCATTATGTCATTGGTCTGCCTAAGGAAACTACCACTCATGTTGAGGAAATATCATCAGGAAAGGGAAAAGGGGTCTCTTGGCATGATTAGCAATTTGTCATTTTGACTTTCCTTTTCCACTACCTCACAGGTCATAGAGGTCACTTTAAAAAAAATCACAAAATGATTTATATGGAAATAATTATTCTACTTGGGGGAAATTTTCTACTTTTTGGTCTTTTAGCTCCTTGCTTTGTTCTTAGATTTCATAATCTCCTGTACCCCTGGTTCAGTCATCTGTCTGAATTAAGTGAATGGTGCTAAAGTAAACATAATTACATTTTAAATGCAATCTTAAAAAAATCCCTCAGAGCATGTATGTTTGTGCTTTAGCATGTACATTTAGTTAATTATGACACAGTTGCTTCGTCAGTTTTAAGAAATTATGTGAGGAAAAGACCAAAACAAATTTTTGTGCCCTCATTGCTCGGCTCTGTTGCCTCTTCTTCAGGAGAAAGGAGGTTGGCAGCTACTGTCTTGGATTCATCATCTTGGATGCGCCACTGGCTGACATTTTCTTAAGCAATAGAATCTTTGTGTAACCTCTCTTGTTCCAGCCTTTAAAATGGCAGAATAAGCAAGATAGTCATGGGTAAAACAATTATACTTTTGCCTATAGATTTATACTTGCAAATATATAGAGGAGTTCATGAACTAATTAAATTGACTTTAGTAAAAGTCAAAATATGAACCTTTGGAATTTCACATTTAAATCAATGTTTTAGAAAGAAGCCAGTTGTTTATAATGAAAAAGAACTTACATGTTTATATGTTTCCTGAAATACTAAAATATAATGCTGTCATTGCAGTTAATTCTTACAAATATTTGAAATATTAGATTTATATTAAAGTGTTTGATGCCATCCACATTTCAGTCAGTAGACATAAATTGTCTGATTGTGAAAGTGGATTGGATACATGTAGGATATTCCTATGACTTTTGTTTTATAACAATAGCATTTCCTAACAAATCGTCACAACTGCTAATATAAAAATTATTTGAGGAATTAGCTTTAATAAAAGTAGTATGGTTCAATTTGAGTGCTAGACATAATTTCAAGTAAAAGACTGTTAGTATAGTCTTTTGAAATGTATGCTTATCCAAGTGAAGTAATAGATTCATAGCATTTGCAGATCTCACTTTCATGAGGCAGTGTAATGTTGTTGTTAAGGAACGGATTCCAGAGTCAGAGTTCTTGAATTCAAATCTTGTTTTTGCTACTTGCTACCTGTATGATCTTAAACAAGTTACTTAATTTCCCTGAGCTTCTATTTTCTCATCTATAAAGTGGAGATAACAGTAGCTATTCATAGAGTTCTAAGTTAAATGAGTTAACCTATTGTAAGCACTTAGAATAATGCCTGGCATGCGATATCATGTATAGCTATGTTATTATTATTGATAGTCAGTGATGAACATTTATGACACAGTAATTTGCAATTTGATGAAGCATATATTGGAATTATAGGGTTACTGATGAAGAATGAGGCTACTGCTGTTGACACAGGTGAAAAATTCTAAAAAAATTAGTGGACTGGCAAATAATAGACAATCAATTGATATTTATCATACAAATAATTGAATTAATGAATCATGATTGAAAGAAAAATTAGAAATAATGAGAAAAGAAAGAGAAGAAATAGAAGTTTTGGTTAAAGTCCAAGAGTGGAATTTCCTACCTATTGGACAACAAATGTTGTAAATAAATAATTTAATATTTCAGTTCCACTTGACTACATTCTATGGAAAAAAATATTTACTGTGAGTATTCTCGAATTTGAGTGGCTGTGGCTTCGTGAGTTAGTTGGCAGTTTCTTTCCCCCAAAAAGTATGAAGTTAGATTTGTTGAAAAACCAGTCATTTCAGTGCTTTGGAGATGTATCAAAGGATACAACAATCTGAAAGATGTTTATGTTTAAAAAAACAGCTGAACTGGCCAGGCACAGTGGCGCATGCCTATAATCCTAGCACTTTGGGAGGCCAAGGTGGGTGGATCATCTGAGGTCAGGAGTTCGAGAGCAGCCTGACCAATATGGTGAAACCCTGTCTCTACTGAAAATACAAAAATTAGCTGGGTATTGTGATGGGTGCCTGTAGTTCCAGCTACTCAGGAGGCTGAGACAGGAGAATTGCTCGAACCTGGGAGGTAGAGGTTGCAGTGAGCCAAGATCATGCATGCCACTCACTGCACTCCAGC